TGCAGAGTTATCAAGCAATCCAGATAATGTTTACATGTGGTACACAGATGTTTGCACTCATCTACATGAAACGAGGTCATTGGAATTCTAGGCGTCTTTTTGCAGACGTACTTACAGCGGAGCTCTACTTTAACTACTGTAAAAAACAGGAGGAACACTGCATTGTTTGGGGCGATTATTCTATTTTATAGGTTGATTTTTGTTGCTGGCAATAAACTAGGAAATTGATATCTCAAAAACGTGGGTGAATAACAAAGTGAAACTATCCATTTTGTTCTGTAAACGATCTCTTTATTGTGTTTAGTTGTATAACTGGAAGGTTTTAAATAAAAGAACTTTCTTTTAGGATGAAAGTTTTAATCTAACTGAATTTAGAGCTTGAAAATTGTACAAGTAAACACACAGTGATATCCTGGTCAACCGGCCTGTTAAGGAGATCTCCAGTTTTTCCAAACATTCAGATTAAACGTCTGCTGGTCGTTCAACAATGCTGACGATTTATAAAACTGCACATTGGTACCAAGTGACCAGCAGGAAGAAGAAGAGACCACCGAGGCAGAGCGACGAATCCCTGGAGGATGCAGAGGTGACTGAGGATGTTCTCTCACTGCTGATGTTTGTGCGACCCGTGGAGACAAAGTGCCTCGGGGCTTCTGCTCAGATTATTACATCCTGTTCAAACACCTTCAAACCCATTCCCACTAAGGACACTCCTGCAGTCCAACCCTCCTCGTGACTTCCCGGAGAACGGTTCATTTTGAAATTGTTTTAATTTAATTAACGCTTTAATCGCTCCGTCTCGGCAAATATTCGCTCCAACGTTGGGACTCTGATGATTTCCTCAAGTGAAGGAATAGAAAGTAAGCGAGGGGACCCGTGCTAATTTGCATGCTGTTGATGCAGAGCGGTGACCATTAGAGCCTGATCATCTTTCTCAGCTCAAGGTGGTTTAAAAAAAAAAGACGCCACGGGGGAATAATTGCAGGGTGAATTAGTCATTTCTTGCAGACTTGATGCACGTGGCGAAGCATACCGATGAACGCATGTTCAGTTCTACACAAATCGCGCTCAAAAATGAGGAGCTCCTAATTTCCTCAGAGATGTCCATTTCAGGAGGAATGAAAATGCTGAACCCACTGCCTGTTAACCAGTCTTTAGTAACTAGAACCTGGTCATTTCAGGAGGCTCATGACAACCCCAAAAAACACAGCGATAAACAGAACCAGGTGACGTTAGGAGGAACACGGTTCTTTTTGCATGAAACTTATTTTTTTTGCTTTTCAAAAATAGTGTGCCACGTGGGCGTAGGGCGGACCACATCGGCATCAGACCGGCGTTAAGTGACATTTTTGCGGGAACGTTTCCATCTTTTACATTCTGCAGCTGAGCAGCTAATTAGCTTGCAAGTTGAGGATAACGGCGCACTTTACCTCGGTTAGCGTTTGCCCGGGTAGTGATTTAATTTGCAGACTTGAGCAGGAAAGATGATCAGCGGCGCGCCGAGTTGTGCAGAAAGCGGGCGTCCGGCACGTCGCCTTGTTAATGCAAACGCTTGAAGGGTCGATATCGACAGCATTCAGACAAGTTAGTGTAGATTTGGGGACGTCGCCATGAAAACAAAAAGGGAGTGAGAAGCTGTGATCATCTCAGCAACCAACCAGCATCCAATTCAGGTGGAGGGAAGTGATGTACTAAACTGCAATGTATGGAGCCTCGTTTCAATGTATGAAAAAAAAAAAAACTGAAAGTAAATAAAGTCGTCTTTTTAGTTACAAGATGGTCTGTGTGTCACTGTGCTATAATATTGTATTTACGTACCTTACGTACTTATGTACGTAAGTTACTCGGCTCAGACTTTTGAATTGGTTTGAATGTTCATAGGGAAATAACATGCAGTCAAAAAAACATCCAGCCAATGAGCACAGCAGGAGGCCCAACGATTAGCCAATCAGAGCCATGGTGGAGCATTTTAAACCTGTGCACTGCAGACCTACTCCTGTTGTGATTTTCCTTTGCTCGGCAAAAGCAGCATGTTGTCATGGCTACGGTTTCAGTTTAGACCCACGGTGGTTTGGTCCGCAGGGATCGGTTAGAAGACGTCGGTCTGAAGAAAGATTCTCTCCAAAAATCAGCGAAGGAAACTTGGATTCTGTGGCTATAATGGGCAAGAGTTCCTCCAGAGTCGTCTTATATTGAAAGATGGTTTGTTGTTAATGTTGTTTAACCAAGAACAATGCTATTCCCAGAGAATCTGGAGAAGAAAAGACAAGTACACATCTTCTACGTGTCGTCTTCTGTCTGTGCAAACTAAATAAGGAGAGAAAAGAAGAAAAATCAATCAGAACTGAGTGTTGTCACGCTGGTCTTTGGGAACCGTGTTTGGCTTGCGAACATCAAAGTGGCCACTCACTACCTGAGGTGCTTCACTTTCTTTTTTTCCCCCCACTCGCCATTAAAGAACACCATCAAGGGGATAAAGACCTTGCGAAAGACACGCCTGTGAGTGATATGAGAAGATGAAAGCGGCACTCTGTCACTCTCCCTGAAGCAGCTCCTCAAACACGGCGCACCTTTCAGCAGCATCCAGTAAATGGAAGTTACAACCTGTCGCTGTCTTCCAGTCATTACTCATAAACCCCCCCCCTCCATCCGGACACAAGTCCAGATACTATTACAGCAAACTGCTTAACGGCCTTTTCTATTTGTCTATTTGTGTGACCACGACAGAAGCTCAATGGGGACAATTAAAAAGCATTTTGATGGAGGAAGAAGTCGCGGAATAACAACTAGGTCATTTTTCTTTGGCGCCTGCCTGAGCTCCAGCTGTCCTGGGCCGAGAATCCAGAAAACATCTGGCGGGTTTGACGCTTCATTCATCACAGAAGAGGAAAGGACAAGTGGCCGTGCGGGCGTCCAGGCAGAGAGACGAGCACAATATGCTTCGGCAGACGGGAGATCTAGGATCCTCTCGGTAGGCGAGAACCTTCCCCCGCGCAGAATAATCCCTGCGTGTCAGAGAACACGACAAGCGCGGCGCTAAACAAAGCGGGAGCGCGTGAGGTCGCGTCCTCTAGTCTGACGGGGGCAACTAACCTTTCCGATAAGGAATCTATATTCTGTACATTTATACTACGGCGTGCTGGCTGTGTGCGCAGGGAATGTCAGTCAAAAGGGAGACACATGTGTGTGCACATATGGGTCTACACAACCACGTTTTGTGCCGCACATCGTGTCAAAGCAGCACATGCATTTCAACCATTTTTCAAATTAATTATTTAACTGGCACATTATGAATTGAGAACATTGACTTTTATCCTAATTATATTACGGTAAACAATCACATAGAAGAACTGAAGTATAATACATTACAACTAATAATAATGGGCAGAGTAGCAAATGTAACCGTCATTCTAAGAAATCCCACTTTCAGTAAGAAAATGTACATAATCTTTTATTAAAAATGGCTAAATAAAAATGTATCAGCTTTTACGAATAAACCCAATTTCTAGTTTCAGGTCTTCTTCGATTCGCCATGATTCTCATTTAGTAAATGATGGTCCCTTCCATCTAAAAAACATCTTGGACAAAGTATATTTTCGGGCGGGGCTACCTTGTGATTGACAGGCCTCTATCGACAAAAAAGGCCAAAGGCCACAAACCAACAGACGCCCACCCGAGGTGGTACAGCTGCTCGTTTTACGACTTTGGGTTTGCTTTGTTTGTCTGCTCGCAGCTCAATGTACCGCTGCACCTTTTACGTGTTCATATTCACATCACTTTTTCGTAGCAGGACTCGCAGTCGGGGGGGGGGGGTTTGACACAGCGGGGGGGTTCCACAGGCGAGGCGGCGGGAGGTAAATGCATAACCAGCGTGGTACTTTGGGATCAAAATCTCTTTTATTGGAAATGTTAAAACCGCAGTGCCGTTGTGAGGCAGAAACTCCTTTATCCTCTGATTGGTCCATTTATTTAATGAAAAACCCCTCGCAGTGTAAAGTCAGAAAGGGAAAAGCAACAGCAGCATATTGAAGCAGCTCAGTTAACCAGCACATTAAGGCGCGACCCCACTTTTACCAAATGGACACGCGACCTGTGTGCACAGAACACGATATGTATTTATATTTTATAGTATTGAGTTTGTTTCCACAAAATTCCTGCACGATGTTGCGCAGTGCGTCTCGTTGTTGCAATCATCACAAATAAATAAAAAAAGGGTCTTAACAGCTCTCTCCTGCACGGGGAGGATTATTTGTAGTGAGCCGAGATGAGGCGGTTTGGCTCCGTCTGAAAAGATCCCTTCCCACCCCCTAATTCCCCTCAAATAACTACGTCCCTTCCCTGTGGAGAACGGGCCGTGAGTCACCGGCAGCGTACCTCCGCTCATCGCGCGCCGCGGCGAGCAATCCGAATTTGCGACGCAAGGTTGGATGTTGGTACGTGCGAGGAGCGTGCACGTGAGCGTGCACGTGCGCGTAGGTGTATCACCTCATTCGGAGGGGGGGTGAAAACGTAAACAGAATATTGCGTTGTCATATTTTCCTCTTTAATTCCTCGGAGACACTAAAACTAAAAACCAGACGGCACAAAATGATTTGGATTGAATCAGCAGCTGACAGATTCGTGAAGATCCCCCAAAAGCTTCATCCTGAAAAAACGAAACGAATGCTCTGCTCCGACATGTTTCTGGGACCTCAAGTAGCCGGTCACTTCATTCAGTTTTCCTTCAGGCCCGTTTGATTACTTTCCAGGGTTTTTTTTTGCTGTTTACCGGGTCTTTCAGGACGTGTGGGAAATGTGACGAGGAATTCCATGTGAAAAGGACTAACGGGCAATTTTTCAATTTTGTCGTTACTTTAAAGCAATAAGTGGCAGGACAAAAGTACCTTGTAGGACACAGATGAAAACACCAGTGAGTTGCTTCAGCGGCACTACAGGACTATATGTGCGGTATATGTACATATGTCTGCATGCGTTTGTAGCCGGAGAACCCTTCCACTCACCTCTGGCACTCGCTGGCATGGAGAACCAGGTCCTGGTTGTTCTCGGCGCTGACGGTGAGCTCGTGCTCGGTTGGGTTGAAGATGTCGAGCAGCAGATGACACTGGCGGGTGCTGTGGACACAGCGGGAGACAGAAGAATCAGCATCTCCACTCAAGAAATTAACTACAGCCTGCTGCACCATTTTAGACATGGCGCGCACACACACACACACACACACAGGGGGCAGAGGTCGACTCTGTCTACATAACCTACGCATAATGGCCTGTTGGTGTGCACGTGAGTTAATACTTTATGCATGAGGTTATGATTACTTTCTAAAAATACGCGGCCAGCTTCGCCCACGCGGGCAAAATGCATGAGATCAAGAGAAGACGCGGCGTGAAGTGCTCGTCGCTCCTTGTCGTAACATCAAACGGTGGCGGTGCTTTCATCAGGCCCACAGGCCTGGCTGGAGGACGCCGTCGCCGCATCACCCCGGGCCTGCCTTTGTCGTGCAGATCATAAGAGGGCCAATTTGTGATTTAGATCAAGACAGGAGACGTGGTGCTGGGTTTTCAAAGAGTTAATCTTAACCACACAAGTAGGTTTTTCTTTTCTACGCCCGTTAATGACGGATGAAAGGAATGGAGTATCTCAAAACAGAGGACAGAATGTCCAGTGCAGCCAGCGAGATGGTACATTAATACTTTATGTCGAGGTACAGCTGGAATGAGACATAAACCATCTGCACACTTTGGAGTTTAAAGTTGAGGACATAATGTACATCAACAGCAGTAAAACAGAACATAATCCGACGCTTTAGTCAAGATACATATTTATATCCACTGATGTGGTGTTATGTGTATTATGTCGTTGCACTAAATAGTTAATGAACATATATTAGCAACACAAGCATGGATACAGGCATAAACGAAGCCCCGTGCGTGTAGTAAACACATCCGAAATGATGAATAATACATGCAAAGCTGCATACATACAAATGAAATGAAAGCAAGTGGGGATAAATCAGACCAAGTGATGTGAGCTAAAGCTGACACACACCCCCACCCCCCTCGCCCTCTCAGCCTCTCAAATTGCAGAGGTTAACGGAGGCTTAGGTAGAGCTCGCCCAACACCCTAATAAAACTGCAGTGGGAAATTAAAAGGAGCATATTTTGTGAAGGCATTCCCCGTGTTTTCTTTAAATGTCTCCGCTGGCGGACGTGAATAACGTGCCGAGGGGGCCGAACTGCCGATTTACAGGCCGAGGTGATCAATCACCGCACCCGGCTGAGGAACACCGACTCGTTGCTCACGCACCAAGTAGCCCGGATGAAAGAGCCGGCAGTGAAGGCGCGGCGGAGCGGCACCTTTTTCCCGACGCCCCGTCCGGGGGGTGAGGGGGGGGGGGGGGCGCTGCAGATGAAGCCGTGCAGCCGGATCTGTTTGATAAGTATTCTGCTGAGCTGCACGCAAGCAAAATAAATTATTCACAACCGCCAATAGGGTTTTAAAGTACTTGTCTCCATTTTCGGGCCGTGAATTTGGAATTCTCATTTAAGAGCCGAGTAGACGGGGGGGAAAGGAGGGGGGGGGCTCCTCTGCTCGCATGTGTACAAACAAGTCGTCCATCGGCGGTTTATCAATCCCTGGGGACGCAGAGTGAGACCTTTACTACGCAGCATCTCAGGTACAGATGGTGTGGGGTGAGGGTGGGTGGATGGGTGGGGGGGGGGGGGTGAGGGTGTACAAACAGCCAGTTAATGAATGCCGGTGTCTATTTCTGAGAACACCGGCGCGCTGACAAATGGACCGCGAGCTCAGCGTTTTGCTGCTATTGATTGGAAAAAGGAACCCGGCGCAGTGGAGCAAACTCTGTAATCCGCCGGCCGTCGATACCCAGCCGACAAACAGCAGAGCGTCACCGCCTCGGCCCCCGCGTGAGCGACACCGCGGCAAATGGGCGCCGACGTTGATGGCGCATCGTTTTTTTTGGGGGGGGGGGGGGGGCGGAAGTGGTTGTCGTTTCCAGGGGGCGGGGGAGGGCGGGGGGGGCGGAACGTCTGAGCCCGGCCCCCCCCTCACTCTGCAGATCTGGGAAGAAGACGGGGGGGATTTTCTGCGGGCACCCAAAAATAGAAGATCTGTATCTACCCCGGTTGCATTAAGAGCCCGACAGCGACCTGCATTGTTTAGCTGTGCGGGAGACAATATGTGACGGTTGACTCGAACGGGACGTTTAGCGAGTCGGTAAACGGCGAGGAGAGGCTCACAACACGATCCTTTAATCATCGATTAAAGTCACTCACTGCTTCAGTTCATCTGAAAGCTTCTCAAAAGGTGGAAGTGAAGGGAATCGTTTTTGTCGTGATTAAAGCATTTTTTGTTAATTGTTACTGATCATTTTAATCCCTCTATATTATTCTGAGTAAATAAACCAGACATTTTGAAGATAAATTATTTCGATAAATCAAAGCTATTGAAAAGATACCGCATGTAAAATTCCAAATAAAGGCGCTAAAAACAAATGAATATCATCCTTATTATATCCTCTCATCAATTAAACAAACAGCATTTCTCACAAGACGTTTCAAGCAGGCTCAAAGTTGTGCTTGAGGTATAAACACTGTGGAAGAAACCCACCAGCTAATTTATTTGGCCACCCTGAAAAAAAGTTTGGCGACCGTCTCTTTGGGAAAGACTTAAAACTAACAGAGCTGTTAGCTGAAGGCCACGGGGCGGCGGAGGGCTGCAAAGTGTTGGAATTGCACCGTCGAAAAAGATGATACACCGGGTGACCTTTAACGAAGACACATGGGTTCACTTCCCCCAGCGGAGCAATGCGGCTTTTTCCTCGCAGGGCAACGGCGTGTTGAACGAATGGGATTTTAACAGGTCTTTGTGCGGATCAACAGTATTTCGCACAACTCGGCTCTCTTTCGCTTCCTTTACCAGATGTGTCACCTCACATAATGCTCACCGGGAGGGGAGAGCGGGGGGGGGGGCATATTACATAACAACGGCAAGGCAAAACCAGGGAAGAGGAGGCAAGGAGGGAGAGAGAGAGCACATGAAAGGGAGGGAGGTAACTGAGCATTAAATACAGTCCCTGTAGCCCCTGAAGAACTGCTTCCTGTTTCGTGGTTTTTGGTGTTGTAGTGGATTGTACTCATGCATTATACAGTGAGGTGGTTCTAAGGCTGGGCGGAGAGGCCAAAAACAGTAACAGTCGTGATCCTTTGAAGGTGTGGATGTATTTTTTTTTTCAAGTATTTCCTTCTGCAAAATGCAGGGGGAATAAAACATCATTTTTGAGGACTCAAGTGTCGAGTCATTGGGTTTGAGCACAGTTAATTCGGTCCCACGGTTTGTGCTGCTTGAAAAGATATTGATGTTTGATGTTTGCAGGATATTTGGAGATTATGAAGCCTGCGACTTTATTTAAGTTTGGACTGAAATAATACATTTGTCTCTCCGAAACTTTATTTTGCTTGTCAGTCGCATTTTTTGAAACCCTCGCGACACATTTAAAGTAAGAGACCCCCCCCCAGAGTACAGGCAGAGGTACTGAGGTCAAAGGGCGAGAAACATCCAGCTATGAGCGAGCTGGCTGGGTTTTATTATTCTAATGACAGCAACGATACCAGGAGGGCAGAATAAAGATCCATATGTGATCCTCTCATGCATCCGTCATCCAACAGCCTCCCTCCCTTCGGGCGAAGTGCGTGTTGCGTCTACACTCGCTAATTGGAGTGATGCGTTACCTTGATCCAATGTTATGTAACCAGCACCAGGCAGGTGCTGAGTGACCGCACACACATCTGTGTTGTTGTTGTTGTTGTTGTTGTTGTTGTGAAAATCACGCTGAATGCTTGTTATTTAAATACGCATTGCATTCAGGGAGAGAATCATCACGACTGTTGGAGGAAGGGACGCGGAAAATAACAATTAAATCTTTCAGTTCTTTGTATCATTTTAAACGCCTGCATTTATATTCTTGTTTGAAAATTGTGATTTTCAGACTGGACTGTGCTCAAAGCTTTTCCTATTACGGGATAAATACATACATGTTGGGTCAAACATGTCTCCCCATAATTCTTATTTGGATTAGGGAACTGGAGAATGATCTGTACGTGCCAATTCCTCAAGCGGAGTTCCATCGGGGGAAATTAAGACTTTACAGGATACAAGAGGAAACAGAAAATGGAAGCTACGTGGAGCAACTTAATGAGACGTGGAAGAGGGAAAGAGGAACCACGAGGATCACAGAGACATTTTCTGATACCGACACGAGAAAACAGATCAAAGTTGCTGTATTATTGAGCATTTTCATCAGTGTCTGTCTCCACCAGTAGTATTTCGGGACTTTAATGTCTGCAAAGGGGAGAAATGCAAAGAATGTGGACATTTCTATGTCCAAAGCCTGAGGTCATAAAACCCGGATTGGCTGTGATTTAATTCTAAAACTTTCCTTCAGGTGAAGAGAAGCACTTAACAATGCTAAAGAATATATACCATTGTTATTATACATACAATGTGCAGTGTTAAAAAGATCATGAGGTTTTGAAGAGCCTTCTAGATCTTCATGACCAGTTATCCTCAAGTGGGCCTGAATAAAAACACAAAGACCTGCAGGTAATCTCCTTAAACCTCGGCGGGCCCTTGAATGTCAGCGACTTCCGCTCTTTGCGACGAGGCAGGACGAGTTCCGGGGCCCGTTGTTGGGATGGCGGTCGCGCAGCACAGGCAGCGTCTTCCAAGTACGCGTACGCATCATCGCTGAGCCAAGATGGATGGCTTAAACTGTAGATATTATCACAGCTAATGAGTCACCTCAAGTGGCCATTACGCGCCGACTATCCGTCTCCCTCGCTTGCCGTTTCTTTTTCATGAGAGTTGGGGAGCTGAGAAGTGAAGCGAAGCGAGACACCGGAAATGTGTGTGTGAGAGTGTGTGCGGGGTGTGTGTGTGTGTGTGTGTGTGTGTGTGTGTGTGTGTGTGACGGTTGTCTGCAGTGATGTATGTGCACGAGGAGAAAAAATTTGAGAACATGAATAAGAAGGACTGAATATCAGAATACCGTTTCTTTTTTATCTTATCCAACGTGCTTTAAAATGAACAAACAAAATGGAGAAAAAGAAGAAGAGCAGAAGGTCCTGGGTTCAGAACCACCTAGCAGGCCTCTGTGTGGACCTGGCATGCTCTCCCCGTACCTACATTTTCGGACTCTACATCGCCTGTAAGTGTGTAAATGTGAATAATTGTCTGACTATTTTAGAGGACCAGTCCAGGATGTGGCCCTCCGAATGCCCCGATGCTAGCGGAGATTGACCCCAGCCCCCGTGACCTCAGAAGGTGACTGACTGACTCGTCATGCACATGGTTATTTTAGTGTCAAGCTTCACTTTTTGTTGTGACAGTCAAAGCACCGTAGAGTCGAGGAAAATGAGGTAAAATCTGGACGGAGGAAGTGGTCCCACATAAAGAGACTAAACCAATAAGCTCATAAATCTGTGGACAATGAAGGCTGCTCATATGTTACCTCGTTGCAGGGAGGGTGTTGACTCTGGTGAAGAAAACAGACGGCTCCACGTCCACGTGGACCCCCAGGGACAGCTCCCTGTGGTAGCCCTCCACTCTGCCTGCTCCCCCCGAGTACTTGAAGTTCAGAACCGCTTCCAAAGTCTGCAAAAAGAGAGGTTTGTAAATGTCGATACCGCTGGTTTGACGGTGTTCTGCGACGAAGGGCTGATTCAGCGAGAGAAGTAGAAAAATTGCGGTTTCAAAGCCACATCCGTGTGGAAGACAGCGTGTGATTGGGGTCAAAGGTCACAGTCAGCATGATGTTTCCTGCAGAGCCATCGGCGTCACAACGGCGAGATAATAAACGCACCTCAGCACAGCCGGTGGGCCCCTTAATAAAGAGCGTAATGGGGTGAAAGGCTGAGATCGGAGGGGGGGGGGTCTGACTGACGGCTCTCCGTTGGGGGGGGGGAGCCGCTGGCGGCGTCCCGAGGCGATCAGGAGAAAGTGGACACGGAGAATAACTCAGAGAGCACAAGCTGACTCAGGCAATGGGCCGAAGCCATGCAGTTAAAGGGAGCATCCAAGGTCCCGCTTTGCCTACTATGGGGGGCCTATATCATCTCTCCTCATATTGCTGATGGAGGCATTGGCTTTGTCTTTCCGGTACAAATTTCACTTATCCTTTGATTATTTTCACTCTTTATCCCCTCGCTGGGGGGGTGCCGAGTGCCAAGTGGAATGATTTGGAGCCTGCTGGCTAGACGTCTGGCCTATTATAACCTAATGGCAGAGGCACGGCCCACTGAGCAAAGAGATGGAAACATTAGAGGGGATTATTGTTATTCTAGACGTTGTTGGACTGCACAGGCTTTATTTCACATCCGTGGTATATTTTAAGGTTGTACCTAATAATCGCCCTTATCGCTCCTTCCCGTTTGTAATGCGTTTGCTTTGAAGCTACGCTCGGAGCAGCGCTCTGCGGATGACAGGGTTGGTTAGCGCTTTACTTCGGTCCTGGTCACACAAAGGAAAGGTCACGCTCCCCACATCCACCGTTATCCGGCACGTGTTTCTTTAAAGTCATCGCAACCATACGGATGGAGGATAATGCCATGAGAAGAAAACATCCGCTGAGCCGGACCGGACTATAATAAAGTATCTAAAAAACTAAAGGTTGGTAAAGGTCGTTATCCTCGTCTCGTTATTGTACTTCAGTTCACCAGCAAATGCCTCCGCACAAGCCACACCTGTACTACCAAAGTCAGTCGGCCCACATGATAAACTAGGATGGTGAGCGTGTTAGCATGCTAACGTTAGCATTTAGCTCAGAGTACAACCTTCCTGGTCTTATTCACGTAATTGTCCTCTGTGGTGTTGTATTGAAGCTCCCTGTACGGTATAGCAGAGGTACTACGTGAGGTACTACATGCAGTCCTCATGACATGATTAGCACGGCTGTTTTAAAAAAGGAGAAGACTGATTAGAAAGACCGAGTACTTCATCAAAGGCACTTGATGCAGAGGCCGCAAATTAAAATGCCGACGTCCTCGCTGAATAGCGATCCCGCCGCTATCCGTCACCCCGCTGGAGCCGCGCTGCTCCAACGGGGGGGGAAGACGAGCAGCGGGCGCACAACGCAGCCAAGAGGCCGACGCAACCAAAGGCACAGCATGTGACACCAATCGCATTTGAACTGATCGACTCAAAATCTCTCGGATCCCTTCAGCTATCGCACTGGTTGGAGGCCATTTCCAATAAAGTCAGATTTTTTTTTCTCCAACAATGTTTGTTTTCACTGGCTCTTGTTGAATAGAGGATAAGGCTGGTGGTTTATCTTTTAATTATTATCAACAAAGCCCATGGAAGGCAAAAACACAATAAGGAGTTTATCCTCCTAACTTTGGTGCCAAAGCTGGATTTTGCCACACAGCATTTTGGTCCCATAACTAATTAGAACATAAAATATACATACAAGTACAGTGGGTGCCATGTTGCTTTGCCACAGCAAACACAGCCAGTGTGTGAAATGTATACATGCAGTATTTTATTAATGGTCTGAATTTCTAATACTGAAGCATACGATATTTTCCCTTTCGGCAAATAAGTGCTGATCCCGCCGCTGCCTTTGTGCCACTAATGGCCACAACGCGGCCCCCCTGAGGAACAGCAATCGACTCGGTGACACCAACAAACAGCGGCTCCGCACTCTGCAATTCCCTCTCCTGACCGAGGCCGACCCCTCGACCCCCCACCCGCTTCCCTTCCCCCTCGGGACCCCGTTTCATTCACACCGGGCTAAAAATAGGCGGCGCTGTAATGAGCCTCCCTCCCGAGCGCACGCCAACGACGTGCTCGGTGACGGCGGCGAAAATAAGGTGACACTTTGATTGAGGCCTTCACCGACGTCACCAATAATAACGGCCGCGTGAGCTGATCAAGTTGATGGATTGTAGCTCGGAGCCAAAAAGGCACCCAGGAAATACAAGGAAAAAACAAGTTACCGGGACATAATATACTTTATTCTGTCCCGTCCATGGAAGACAAACGGTTGTTGACATGCGATGGCTTATTTGCTCTAAAGGTGCCATATGAAGCCAGAAGGCTAGATAGTAGAAATATACCCGCTGCTGGTCTATTGAAGCATTATTTTATTTGTGGCAGTTAAAGGATAAATCAAATCCCACAGTTTTAGCATAGACAATACGTTACCACTCCGAAGAGACTAATGTCAATCTCAGGCAGTAGAACTAAATAAAGTGAGCGTATTAAATTGAGCGGCGGTGCTTTTTGCTTCTTTCGGATTCAACTTGACAAAATATCTGAAGATGATGCAAACTTGATGCTGCGTGTCGTCCAATTAGAAGTGGCACTGAACCACAAACCTGATGCCACTCGTTGAAGTCGTCGCTGATCTTGCGAAGCGGAATGCTTGACATCAGCGGGTGTCGCCACCCGCCTGGTTTTTGTTGCTTGTGTAACCGGAGCTGTGAGCTCAGCCTCACAGACGTGGCGCGATAGCAGACTCACCGTGTTGGAACGCCTTCACTCGATACATATCGGCAAAGAGCCTCGGTGGACCATCCATCACACCCATCTGCACAAATCATTCATTTATTTTTGACAATGGAGGTGAATTCCCAACGTCGAAACACGCGGTTTCCTGTCTCTCGCTCACACGCCGGCGGCGGCTCTGTGGATGCTCAGAAGGAGATAACGATGCCGAAGCGCCCCGGTGACGTGGCAGCGGTAGTTGCACTACCTGACCGGCTGAGCGGTTTCAAACTAGTCGGCACGTCACTTTTACGCCGCCATACTGAGGAATTTAATACGAGATGCATATGAATTTAATCAGGCAGCTCCTTGGAAGATTAGCTTACTTACTGCGAGGATGTACGTGACATCCACCGGAGGGACAGGATTAGAAATTGGACTTCTTCCATACATATATTCATGTGGCCTCATTGCAGGAAGCTGATGTCAGTCTTTGTTTGTGCGGTCAGTCCTCAGCCAGTGCTCCCTGGGACGCTTTGTACGTCATGTTTAAGACATTTTGTCCAAAGCACTATATTCCAGTCCCCATTGACACACCTGTACGTTCCTATTAAAAGTACTTAGTGCTGAATGGAATGTTAGATGTTACAAAATGAACCTACTTTTTGGACTTCTGAGGCAGGAAAGTCACACACGGCTAATAGAAATAATTGCAAGCTAAAAAACAACAGTCCACCGCGCCACTTTCACAGTCAGCAGAACCGTAAAAGGCGGCGATGTGAAACACTATTACCTTCCTGCAGACAGCCAAATTGGAAATGTAGTGAACCGCCGTTTATGGGGGACACACTGACAACATCAATTTCTCTGTCTCTTTCAAAACATTTATTTTTCCTCACCCTAAATTGCACAGATGTGTGCGGAATTACACGATGGGAGACCAACGCGTTCTCTCTCTCTCTCTCTCTTCACTGTGGCGCCACGGATCAGGGGTGTTTGTACCCTCGTGTCGGCTACGAGTGGTCGAAGGCCGAGGGTCCGTGGTCTTTGATGATGTGAAGAAATGGAAGTCCGTGTGCCTGGTTGTGCTCAAAATGAGGCGAAGACCCCTGCTTAGGTATCGTCTGCAGCGGCGGCGGCTGCGGAAAACAGACGGACGACCCGAGGCCGGTCGGAACGCCGCTGGGGCCGACTGGCGTGCGTACGCCCGGCTGTCAACCGCTGAGCCAACCAATCGGGCGGCCCGGAGTTAAGACAGCATGGTGAAGACGGCTCTGCGCGTAGCCGAGGGAAGCGACGTACGGATCCAAACGAGCCCACAGCACGAGAGCAACCTCCTTTTGGCTCCGGCTGTCGCTGCCGTCACGTTCTCGGCCTTTGGAGGAGCGCCGTGAGGAGGGGCCGAAGGGCGCCGTGTGTTGGGTTGACAGCCGACGCGGTCGAGAGCATCCAAAGCTGCTCAGTAACAACCAGGCTGCAGACCAGAATAACTGACACTGCCGTCAGGGAAAGGGATTTTTATTATTATTCTGACTGTTGTTTTAAGCGAGGGGCCTCAGCGAAGCAGGTGTGGCAGAATCACTTCACCCCAGCTCCGAAACCGGCCCCTAAAGCCCCAGAAGCCTCCGCGAAAGAGCCCCCGGTCCACCTAATGATGGTCCTGACATTCCTGCCCACAGCGTTTAGAATGTCACGCTGCGCGCCCACTCTCAGTAAAGGTTTGCCTATGATGTGGCAATTAGAGCGGGAGACATTTTAAGGAGTGGGTGAGCAACCTGCCAACGCTACGGGGACGCTGACGGGAGCTCAGGCTCAAACTACTGTGGGAGGTGGAGGGCAGAGGGGAGGGCAACGCACCACGTTAACTCCACGTCTGGCGGGGAATGCGATCGCCACCGTGGAAGGAGTTCTGCTGGATGTGAATGGAAGCTCCTGACCGCAATAAGTCATTTCAAATTCAACAAATGCAAGCAGTGAACCTTTGAGGAGCACTCACTTGAATTGCCATTTGTGCCGTTTCACGTCCTCCAGAAGGACAACGTTTCATCGGTTGTTCGCGATCTACTGAAGGCAGATGGACAACTGGAACTCCTGGTACCATCATCCACTGCCTGAATCCAAACCACCCCCCAAGCGCAGGTATTATATTAGTCCTTCTTTTTCTCAGT